ACATTTTCTGGGATCGGAGCTCATCTCTTCGTAAGCCTGCTCTAATCACGCCACTAATTCATAGTGGTCATTACCATCCTTCTTTAAAAGCTAATCATTTATTGACAAAGATTGAATACGTGTTGCTTGTAAATATTCAATACACATGATACAAGTTTTTATTGAGGTTCAGAAATGTTTTTCATATTCAAATTATGTTTGACATATGTGTAGTAACATTGAAACTGATGTTACATAGGAAATATTTTAATATATTAATTAATTAGATTAATCGATTTTAATTAAACAGAGTGTCCCAAAAGTCATCTACTAAAAGATGAATTTAAATATTTCCACCGTGTTTTCATCAAATTAACCAATTGTTATTTTTGTCTGGGGATAGAGGACAGATCCAAGTGTTTAGTTTTATGAGAGAAATTAATAAGTAATGCTTAAAGTTATCATGTTTGACTGTAATACAAAACCTGACTTTTTTTCGGATTCATAGGAGTCTTTGTGAGAAAATATCACAAATGATTATGGATTTTCAAGTCCATGGCTTTTCTTTTCATTACTAGAACAACTTCCATAGGTTTGATAAAAGTTATCTGAAACCAATATGAAAGTTTGAAAGAGTAAAAAAAAGCAAAAAGCTTAGCAAAAATACGAAAAAATATATTGGAATTCGAAAACTTATAGGAGCCCGACTACGGATGTTTCCTGTAATAGAATCTCATAATTTCAATAAAACTTTATTATCGAATTCTAACATGAAACTTAACCTTCATAAAACTCTCACTTAGACTAGTGTGTGTAAAAAATTATCATAATTTTTGGATGTAGTGTGAAGGTTTCAAAATCTAGCACCTGCTTATAGATATTGATAAAACTTCAAAAGAGAATTAGTTGATTTGGTTAAAGCATAATGAAGATATTCAAATTCTTTTTTGGTGGATGACTTTTGAAATATCTTGTACTTTAAAAAATGTTTAGATCGAAACAACTTTTTTATCACCAAAAACAAAACTGATCAAATGAAATAATATAGATAAAGATAGAGGTTGACGGTTTTAATTTAATACGAGCAAAAATGACATGTGAGAGACGGCCCGAATTTTTTCAAAAGATATGATTGAAAATCATTTGTCGTATCAAAAACGCTTAAGAATTACTAAAATAAGTTCTAGAGCTTTTATTATTCAAGAAGTTATTTGTTCAAGTCATTCTCAAAGTTGCAAACACGAAAAAGATCAATGACTATTCGAATGTTAATTGAAAATGATCTTTATTAATACACATTTAGATTGAAGATATCGTGTAAATTTTTTCTTTGTTAGTAGTCAATTCGCATATTCGTGACTATTCGAAATTGTACAAAATTTGTACTTATGAGGAAAATTTTCGAATTGATTAATCATTTTTTAGTAGAAACTATATGTATTACATAGATCATAATGAGTTATGAATATCCTGAAAAGAGTTCGGTCTGTTAGCTTATTGCTGCTAAGATGCTGCACTTTTAGGGTATTTGTAATGAATGCCATGGTCTCCCTCAATAACACTAGAAAAACTGATTTTTTAATTTCAACTTGAAAGTTAGCACAGAGACATGCCTTAGCGAAAGTTTGAGATCGTTCTCCTCTTATTATCTTAAAATACGGCTATGATAACAATGTGTCTTTTATGTCGTTTATATACACTGATAATATATAATAGTTCCACAGCAATAAACTAGCAACAGGAGTACTTTTCAAAATATTCGTAACTCATCATAGTTCATCTGATATAAATTGTCCCGATTCAAAATCGACTAGTCAGTGTTGGAGTACTTTCATGCTCGGTGAATATGTCATAAGTTTGAATACTTCATATTAAAAATGGTTCGATCATTATAATCTTAAAGCAAACAAACAAATAGTAGGTAGATTCTCTTGAAAATCTTAATCAATCTAATCTACATCATTTAATTATGTCGTGACCATAAATAGGAGTTCGTATGTCAATATCTATTTGACATAAATGTTTTATGCCTGTCAAACTTGAAAGTTGAATTCCATTATTAAATAGTTGACATTTGAAAAGATGAAACTCAAGTATTTCACGAAAGCATACACACAGTATATCTTTCACGTTGAGTGCGTTACGAAATCTTAACACATATGACGAATTGTATTGAGTGTTTGAATACTTGAACAATAATGTAATAATTGAATTCAAATTTCAAGTTTGATACTACTTTATCTAATATGAAATATTGCTTTTCTTAGAACTTTCCTTGAATAAGAATTTTTATAGTACCTATTTTCCATTTATAAACAATATCTATCAATCAAATAGCTCATGCTTTCAAATCGATACATATTTGACTAATGACATAGATATTTACGCTAACTCTCTTTCGAAATAGGCAAAAACTATGAAAATTAAATTGATTGTTTTTTTATGTTGTGCTATAAATACGAATATAACTCAATCATTGAACAATCAAACACAAAGTAAGAATAATAAGTAATATATTTCTATTCCATAATAGCGTATTATTGGTACTAATGCAGTTATATTGACATACTAAAAAAAGGATTAATGCACATTGATAATCATTCAATCGAAAGAAAAATAACATCAAAAACGAGTTTGAATTGATTACATATAAGAGTATAGGACCTATAAATATAAAAAAAATTGTACATTCTTTTGTGTGTGATTGTATTAGAAAACATCTGATAGAAGAATGAAAAAACAATCAAGTTGACTTATATGCGTCTCGCGAAATCATTTTTTCAATGCTCATATGTGGCTATTTATCATATAGTTCAAATTTCTTTTTCAAATTCTGAAAGTTGTCCATTAAAACCAAATGATGAATATTTACGTTGGTGAGATATTAGTTAAAAAATCCTGTTTAAATATTTTTGTTGTCTTTGAAATCGATCATATATATTTAATTAGAAATCTTCTCAAATATATATTCATCATATAAAATAAAATCTTTTAAAGTCATTCTATATGATATTGTAATTTAATCCTTAGGGAACATATTAATAAGTTTTGCCTTAGTAATGTACTCATAATAAAATGTTTGAACATGCGTTTTTGTAGATATTCATAAAATTTAACAAAAACAAGCACACAAATACTTGAATGAGCTTTTTTTCCGAAGTGTGTACTTACAATGGAAAGTTTCTAAGTGATAAATCACTTTGTTCCTGAGATATCGAATTTTTCGTGGAGAGATCCATTCTCCAAGCGAAATGATATTCTTGAATTTTGACCTGAAACTTTGGTCACATTATTCATATCCCAGAGAGATTTTGTCAAAGAATTGTGAATTTTTTTCTCTTTCCTCGTTAGAGAAGATTTTAATATATTCTATATGATAGTTAGATTTGATGTTGTTTATCGAAAGTCCAACGAATGCATCTACTCGTCTATTTACTTTTATGATTTACTTCTGTTGTTTCAATTTTTAAATAAGAAATATTTGAATTCTCTTGATAAATATTTTCGTAAGAAGTTTATTTCATCTGAGATGATAGGATTCTATTTTATGAGAAATGAAATGACAGATTGTTGACTTGTTTTTCTTGTCGTTGAATGTCTATCATCAACTAAAATGAAAGAAAAATAACTTTGTGATTAAAAACCTCATGTCTTCTTCGAAGTTTTACATTTATAGTAATTATTTGTTTATTAATGTAATCACTTTTGTTTTTTGTTTATTGAGAAAGTATTTTCCTTAATGCTTTTTTTTTCCTTTAAAAGTCTATCACAAGTCAACTTGACCGTACATTGCTATTATTTTTATCAATATAGATAATCTAGATTAATATTGATTTATAATAGCCACTTGCATATCATTAATCTAAATTATGTACATTAAGCTCCCATCAAAAAAAGACAATTTTTATCAGAAAAATCGAAATTGTGATAATGGCATGAGAAGCTAATCTGAAGTTTAGTCTTTCATAAATGATATGGTTTCGTTATTTGATACCTTGGTTTTTTTTGCAAAAATATGTTTACTTTTTAGAAAAAAAGGGAAATGTGTTTTGTTTTTTTTCTTTTTATGCTTTTATGACAATATGTCAAAGAATTCTCGACAGAGCTGTGTTGTAACCAATGATTTCTTTTTTTTTATTTGAGAGAAGCATATGAAGCTGCAGCACCGGTTTTTTGAATCAAACATTTTTACTATTACATAAATAGATCATCATTTTTTGAGGTATTGAAGTTGTCATACTCTTTTTATGCATAACAAACAAGAATTAAAAAAAAAGAATGCTGCAATCTAACATGATCTTTTAAACAAAAAGAATATTAAATCTTTAGAATGAAGATCCATAGAGAATTTTTGGTTGTCGAATGAACTATTTTTGACTGTTGTTTATTGAATATCTTCCGAAAACATCATGATATAGAAGTGAAAATTTCATGAGATTTGAATGCACCTGGTTCAAGATTGATTTCTGAGGGAATCTTAACGTTCAATATTCGATGACATTAAAAAAGGTTGTTACCAATGAACAGACAAGTCGAATAATTGATAATACATGCAAATTACAAACAGAGAAGAGTATCCCGAGGTCAGCCGGATTGGAGGGATCGATTAGAAGATCTTTGCTAACATTGATTGAATTTGGGGAAAATACCCTTAAAACTAGCATAACATCAATAAATTCAATAAAGAATTGAAAATCGAATTTTTTTTTCATTCTTTATTTTCTTTGATACCTTAGATATATTAGTCATTCGTTTAAAATATTTCAAGACATAAAACATTCAACTTGCAATAAATGAAACACTTGATACCTATTATCTTCATTAGCATATATTCATTCAGTTTTCCGCTTGATGATATATGTTGACCTTCTTTGTATTATTGTTATTCTTAACATGCAATTCTTTCTTCCAATTAATTGGTACATTTAATCGAGTTATTAGCTTTGATAAAGTTTCTTTTATTATTAATCAAAGAAAAACCAAAAAATTATACAAATATAATGAATATAAAACAAAAAAAATTATGCTTGAGTTACTAAATCAATTCCTAATAAATTATATTTACTCATTGACATTTTTAAATCTTCATTAAGTAAATAATCATTTTTTAATGAAGGAAAATCAAGTAAATTATCAAGTTTTGTTGGTGTTGTTAACATTTCGAAAGCTAAATTTTTCATTGGATTTATTGATGATAATTGTATTGTATTTATTTCTTCATCTATAGGCATTTGTTGTGTATTTGTTATTACATGAGGTAATCGTTGACCTTTAATTTTATTTGTGAATACCGACCATGTTGAATGTGTATGTTGTAAATCAGTTTGTGAGGACCATTTATTATTTGTTGATGTTGTTGAAAAAATACTTGACGTTTTTCTCATTTTTTTATCTGGATTTTTTATTGTTTTACCATGTTTTTGGTGTTTACTAGATTGCTGTTGTTGTTGTTGTTGTTGTTGTAAGAGTGTTATATCATCTAATGATTTACCTATGGAATGTTCTATTGGTTTATTTTCTTTAATATGTGTTAAATCTTTATGTAATACGATTTGAAATGTTTGTTGTAAAGCATTTTCAAGTAAATCATGTTGTGTTGCTTGTTGTTGATAACGATGATAAATAATTGAACGTTTAAAATAAATAATACATATATGACGAAGTGAAAGTATTTGTTTATTATTACAATTATCAATATGTTCACTATTATAATTCGTATGTGAATTCGTTTTATAATTAAGTAATACTAATAAATAAATAATTGTATTTAATTGATTTAAATAAGCAAGATCAAGTAACGTTCGTCCAAGATAATCTTGATTTAAACGATAATCAACAAATTGTATAAAATAATAAAATAAGCGTATATGTCGTTTTAAAATAATACTCGATGAAAGCATAGCATGTAAACATGTTTGATCATCATTATCTAAATGATAGACATTGGCACCAGCACGAAGTAAAGTCAATGCTATCTCAAGATGACCTTCAATACAAGCATAAAATAATGGTGTTTGATTTCGATGATCACCTTGATTTATTGCTTTAATTATTATTTCATCATTAGATGATGAAGTTAAAAGTTCTTGAAGAACAGGTAATGAACCAAGAAAAGCAGCTATATGAAGTGCTGTCATACCACGATCATTGACTGCACATAGATCGAGATTATGGGATAAAAGAAGTGCACATGTTGCTGGATGATTACTAGCACAAGCACACATTAATGGTGTCCAATTTTGACTATAGAAAACAAACGAAAAGATAATTTCTTAATTAAAAAATATTTTCATCAAAGATTACGCATCAGGTGTATTAATAATATTTTGTCCGATATCAGTTGTCAATATAAAATTTTGAATTAATCGATTATTTCCAGTTGATACAGCTAGATGAAAAGAATTTCGTCCTGTATTATCTTGTTTATACATATCAGCACTATGTGACAATAGTATCTGTACAATCTATTTATCTAACTATAATTATACTAATATTCTGTTCTTTCTTTATTGATTAATTAACCTCACTTCTTCATTACCCATATAAGCAGCAATATGAAGTGGCGTTGAAAAACTTGCATCAGTTACATTAACTTGTGCACCGGCTTGAAGTAACATTTGAATAGCACGTATATTAGCTGATTCAACAGCTACATGTAATGCTGTTGATTTTGTTGAAGGATCTGGTTGATCTGGTGAGAAACCTGAAATATGACCTCATTGATCTTTAACTATTTATTATGCTTAGATCAAAAATAATGTTATTTATTGTTTATTACCAACCTGAAAGCAAATACTTGTGTAATGTGTCAGTATCCTTATCTTGAGCGGCATTGACAAAGGCATTTACATCAAGTGGAGGTACGAGTGATGAAATTGATGATGAAATCGTTGACTTTCGTTCATTATTTGATGGTCCACGAAATAAATCACGTAGACGCTATAGATATACAAAATAAAAATAAAAAAATAATCAATTATTCAAGTCAATTAATGAGTAAGCTTCTTTTTCTTTACAAGTTGGCAACTTACCATATTTCAGGTATGCATATACACGAGCTCTGTGGATAGATAAAAAAAAACGAAAGATAAAGTGCAACAATAGTGATTACGATTATGAGTCGTTGTTAACACCAATCTTTTTTCGTTTTCTTTTCTGTTGTCCTATGAATCAACACGATTTATACACATGTGCATACACTAAAGGACGGACTAAGTCACACCATTGATGCACTAAATATGTCAGTTGATGCCGATCGATTGTCAAAACCGCTGACAGGTGCTTTTCACTATTCGTATATAAACGACTTGTTTCGATAAAATGAAAAGGAAGAAGCAAGGTATAGAATAGCAAAGAAATGAATGATTTATTCTATGTACTGATGTCGATAGTGGTGATGGTGAGAAAAAAAGAGAACAAAAAAAGCGGCAAACTGTGGAATCAATATAACAGTAAGAAGAGGGTGAGAGAGAAGAAAAAAAAGATTGTTCTTGTTGTTGTGCGATTTAGGGATCCGTGATGCTAGTAGACCAATAAGTAAAAAAAAAGGAAAAGAGCATGTGCTATACATTGTGTAAGTTCTTGATAATAGAAGGACAAATGAAGAAAACAATACAGTGATGATATGTATAATTGAAACCAGAACTTTCTAATATAATTATTTGTGTCACTTATGATTTTTTCAAGAACATCGAAAAAAATGAATTCATATGAAAGAAAATGTTATTTCATGATTTTAATATAAAAGCAAGGTTAAAAGAGTACTCTTAAATCCGATTATATATTTATTAATTTACACTTTTCTTTTCAAATATATTTGACATATATAAAAATTCGATGAAATTTATCTAGTGACATTCTATTCTTTTCTTTTCTTTTATACAGAATAAAACATATTGTTAGGATATATTTTAACAACTTATGACCTTGTCCGTTTTTACTCAACATTAAAATTGTAATAAAGACGTGCATTAGTAATCGTATTGTAATTCTATACTATATTAAAATAGTTCATATGTTTTGATTTTAGTACTTGTATGTACCTAACAATATATGAAAAAATATGCATTGAAAAAGGAAAAAATAAACAAAATTCAATCTATAATCACAGATAATAATGAAGCATGTAGGGAGATTGATGAATATAAAAACACGAAAGAAAAAAACCGACATCTAACAAATAAACTTTCTTTATCTCATTTCGAATATCGTTTTCGTAGCAAATATCAACATAGCAGCAAACATAAGAACAATGAACGATAAATTGCACAGACAAAATGAAAAAGCAATATGTTTTTTTAGACGAGTTCTTCCTTCTTGTTGTTTTAATAAACGTTGTTGTATTTGAAATTGTCGTCGTGCATCTAATTGAGAAAATGTATCTAATTGTATAGCTTCATCACAAAGTAATCGACCTAGAACAAGATCACGTGTACTCATTGAATAAACTCGACCATCACGTTCAACATGTACAACTTCATTTATTGGAATATTTTTTAAATCAATTCTCGTTTTATCTGATTTTTTTTTTATTATAAGTCCATCATCTTGTTGACGTAAAAAAGACATTTCTCTCATATCTAACACTTGTATACGAATTTTTTCACGTAAATTTATCCAACGGAAATCTTGTTCAATTAATTTCTTTCTTGCATATGATTCACTCATCATAGCTATTTCATGTAAACGCTGACGAACAATATGCCATTTTGAATTACGTGATAAATGATATAAATTTCGACGATTACGCCAATATAAATTTTGTATCGAACGACGTTGACTTAAGGGACGTAATGCTGTCAATGATGAATATGATGAATGTATTCGACGAGCCAAACGATGTTCAAGTAAAGTACGTCGAATTAAATCTATACGAGTTTGTTTTGAATATTTTCTATCAATAAGTGATAAATTGGAAGTATCAATTTCATTTTTATATTTTGAATCTGATATTACTAATTGACTATGAGATAAATTTTCATGAATATCTATATTTTCATTGGCATATAAATTAACACGTACTTCTGATGGCGATCGATTTCTACGTGATGATACTATCGAATGATTACGACTTTCATGTGATATTAGTCTGGTTCTTCTTGTTTGTGTATTATCATCTAAATCATTATCAGGTATATCAATTGCTGCTTGTTTAACAGTAAGAAAATCAGATGTTGATTTCGATATTGGTATACGACGTTGTCGTCGATCAGTTTCAATTTTTTTTTTAATGGTTGATGGAAATGGTTTGAAAACTGTTTTTGCAGGGTATAATAAATATTTATTTTCTACCTGATTTTCAATAATTGATTTTGTTTCTTCATCACTTGGTAAACTAAAAGTGATTGTTGTTGCCATGTGTATCATATAATTTTATCCGAACATCTAGAATAAAACAATTTATTTGATAATATTTAATTATGTAAATTTATCAGTAGCAAATCGCTTTTGATATTATTGAGATAGATAGATTCAAGTGTGTAGGAGGACAAAAAACAAGGTATGGAAATGATATCAGATAGATGTTGCACGTATATGTCAGTGTGTCAAATGATTCAAAAGGCTACTTTTATTTTGAACTAAGTGATCAGTAATACTAAACCAGTCATACCTTTTCTCGTTAAATTATTAAGAATTCATTGTGAAAACTAACAAAACAGCAAAGTAAAAAAAAGAATAAAAGTCAAGCTACCTGTATTTCTTGCTGTATTATTCATTTATGCAGTCGCATAACAAACCACTTATACGATACACTCTATCAGACAAATAAAAAAAAGAACGAGACAAAGTAAAGAGAAAAATATATTTTGATGAATATCGATTTCTTTTATTTCTTTTCATCATTACATTCTTGTCCATATCAATAAGTCAATTCTTAACAGATATTCGGCTTATGAAATTCTAATCCTTGACAAGAAAATCTTCAAGGTAATTTATGTCATATTCCATAATGTTAACAATCATAACAAGACCTGTCAAAAAGACATGAGTATATATATATATGTACAGTTTGTTTAGATCGACTGCTCTTTGTTTCTTCAAAAAAGCCTTTGATTATTTTGATAATGACACATTTTGAAAAACTTTCAAACATCTTATTGAGTCAGATATGCTTTCTTCTTAGCTTAACACGATAATATTTATACTCTTACTAATGTATACTTGATCGATGAAAAATATACTAAGTGATATAGCAAAATTATATACGTTATGATAAAGAAAAGATTTGCATGGATAATGGTGACGTGTTAGTGTATAGAATATTATTTTTTGTTTGAATAATTACACATAGATTTTCTAAGTCACTTATATTGAAGTTACATCATGCGTTTAAATATTGATCTGTCATTGAAAACCATCCGTGACGTCGTTGTCGCCAGTTCTTTTATTTTTTATTTTTCTTGCATAGCAAAAATAACTATAATGACAGTACAAGTGAAAAGATAACAAAAGCAAAAGAAATATTTAGACAACTCACAAATCTATGCATTTGTCAACTCGATTACTGTCAGATAAGATCAGCTACTAATTTGTACACATATATAAACATAGTATATATTGCATCTTAAAAATATCTACAAATTAGTAACATTCACTCTATGATGATGTATATATATATTAATATATACATATATATCACAGAGTTTATATAAAATTCGAACATATAAATATATATGTATTTAGTACATAGGTAGGTCATCAATAAGCTTAAAAGAAAAAATCAAATATATAAATACGTATGCTTGTATGAATGAAGGTATGTGTAGGAAAGCAAATAAAAAAAAACGCGGCTATTCAGTGCAAACAATCAACATTTACTGGCAGAAAAATGTTTTGATTAATTCGTCTAAGGCAGTTAGTAATATACTATAGATATCGATAAACAAAACGACTGTAATGATACTAAAGCAAAAGAGGAAAAAGGATAATATTGTCATATTTTAGTAGACTCTTGACGTCTATTTTCTTATTAAATTACAGATATCTATATTGTTATTCTTCTTTTTTTTCTTCTGCATTATATATAAACTGTTAAACAAATATCATCAGAGCAAAATTTGTACTCATTGTTCAATGAGTGCCAATTTCCTTTCAGATAATAACGTGAAAATACATTCAACAATTTATATTTCACGTCGATTAACATAATAATTTGTTATCTTTCCTATTTTCAATGAAAAAATGCAACTACTGTTTAATACTCATCAGACGACAAACAAAAACCTTCTCACTGTATTCTATACCTGAAATCAAAAAGCAATAAACTGTTTTACTTACCAATAAGTCAGTAGCAACATGCCACCATGTGTGTGTGTGTGTATATATGTATATAAACCAAATATCCTCTATTCTCTTTTTCTGTTTCAATAAAGAAGGGAAACTTGAAGTACTTCATTTTCCGACACTCTTTCAAAAAAATCAGTAAATTATAAATGAAATATAGATGATACTGTGTTCATCTAGTTAGAAGATAATATTGACATAATGAATTGATGATAAGTTTTTCTTTATATTTAATGCACACCTAAAGAAGGTCTATGTCGTCTAAATTATTTATTTGTCTCAAGCTTACAATACTGAGAACATTGTCAATAATAGAAAATATACGAAAAAAAAGAAGTAAGTAAGAAGTAAAAATATTGATTTTACATTCAATTTATTTTATTTTTAAGGTCAATATATCAAAAGAAAGTTGCAACAACACTTAAAAGAAATTCCTCGTTGCTTGTGTTTCATAAGGAAAAGAAAATGTTCATTTAGATGAATAATATGTGAAATTCTCTACTTTTTTCCTCAGTAAATATCAATAGTTCACAGTAATTTATGATTTTCTTTTTTTTGCATATATATGAAATATTTTGTCACTATATTGAGAAGAAAAAGCCATATTGTAAGGATACACGTGATTTGAATCATGACAAGTCATTTTAGACTGTAAGTACGAATAATTGTACTCACTATAATGTATGACAAGTTTTAAAAAAAAAGGTAAGCCGCAAATAAGTGAATCGAACAATCCAATTAATTAATTGATTTGAGACTATACAAAATAAACATTTTTTAGTGCATTTTAGTCGTTTATAAATTCTTGATCTTCCGTTTCAAGTAATAAAAATAATGCTTAATGTGTAGCTCATAAACATACTTAAATGGAAGTATTTGAAAGACGTGGAAAATAGACTATCTTTTATTAGTATCAAAGACGATAATATTTTTTCACAAAGTTTCATAGTCTTGTTGTTTTTAAAAACTACTAATCGCCGTAAGATTTCAGAACATATCAACACGTACAAAAAGACAAAGAAAGTGTTCTAATTATATGTTTGCATGCGTTTCCTTACATTACTCTTACTAATTAAAGGCATAATAAACAGGGATGGTTCGACCAGGGTGAAAGGGTGCAAGACCTCCACTCAAAAAAAATTGTCGCCTTTACCCAACCGAGTTGAAAACTTTTCATGCGCTCTGTTAGAAGAAAAAATTGTTTCACTCTTCCCTTCTCTCAGTGTTGACTGTCTCGGACCAGTAATAATGATGAAAGTTATTTGACTAGTCAAATATCCTTTTACTTGCCTCATGTTGATTTGAAAAGTTAATGCGATAACCAATAAATTGTAATTGAATGTTTATTGAATCCTCATTCATTTTGTTTCTTTAGGCAATTCATTGGTTAATACCCAACGATTTTTCTTATTGTAAATAAAAGAAAAAGAACTAGATATATATTTCAAGAATATTTTTCTATTTCTAAGATATAGAGACATTGAATGATTGATAAAAGTTTTTGCAACAAAATATTGTTATTTTTTTTTTGTCGAAAGTATTTATTCAGACAAGCAGGATGTTGATGTGAGCAATATTTTCAAACAAGAGTGCATTGTATCATGTGTATGTCTTATAATTATGATATTAAAGTGCAATGAATTGTTATAAGCACCAATGAAATTGACAGTTTGTGGTCTGGATACTATAATCGATGGCATATGACGAATAGCTATTCTTGATAAATTTTGAATCACATGTTTTGATAATTCGGTACAACAAAAGAAAAATTCTGAGAAAACATTTAAATTTCTCACTTACAATATTTAACGCTTGAAAAACGACGAGACATATGTTGTCCTGCCTGTTTTTAGCAGAGAAAGTGTTTTGTTGAAAGCAAACTATTAGACCTTCAAGACCATATTAGTCATAGGTGACCCTATTTGTCATCGTATATTTATCTTTTGTTTCTTTTTCTCATATATAGTAAAACCGTTGTATGTAAGGGGGTGTCTGGCAGTGTCGAGCGGTGGATAATTTACGCAAGCGAATTTTGCTAAGAGTCAACCTTTCTATTATCAGCAGCCACTTACTCTGAGTAATGGGCGAGAAAAAAAAATTATATTATCTGTATTGATTTATGAGAAACACTCATAGGATGTACTTTAGTAAAAGATGGACTAATCATGCATATTTAACAGAAAGAAAAACATAATAGAAAGAGTGCCTCATGTAACAGCTAGTAAGATAAAATCATGTCAATACTTATTGATTTACTTTTGATTAAAAAAAGTTGAATTAATTAATTTTTGGAAAGAAGAAAAAACAAATTGAAAACCTCTCAGTAATAATTACTTCCGTAAAGTGAGCATTTTTGTACAGTTCTAATGATGTTTACATTAATGAGATTTTACTGTAAATTCTTTTCAAATATTTTCTGTTCTTTCTACTACTGTATAGTGATTTCACGATTTTCTCTTTTCTTCTGGTCTATAATCTATAGAGAATATTCTCACTCTTTATTGCGCTGATATGTATACATACTCGTGTTCTTATCGACGAATTTACGGTGCTGTCCGCTTTGAAAACTATATATCGTTTTTCGTTTGCTACAAACTAGAGGGGTACATCGACGCTATCATTCAGCAAACGTTTTTTAATTTTTCATTCATATGGAAATAAAGCTACTTACACTCTTCGTTTCTTATAATGTTCCGTTTATAATTAAAATTAAACAAATGGAATTATATAGGAACAGTGAAGTTGATAAAAAGTTCTGTAATTTACATAAAGGTATCAGAGACTGACGGGATGCGGGACCAATCCTGTCCCGTCCCGTCTCGTCCCGGGACGGGACGGGAGAAGAAACAAATAAGTAGGGCGGGACTGGACGGGACACGGGACAAGATGTAGCGGGATGCGGGATAGACGGGACTTAGTGCTTCTCCCGCTTACTTCTATTAATAGAACAAAAAACAAAATAATAGCCTATGTCGAGTATTACAATAGCGATTGATTTTCGCACAAGAGTAGAATAATGGTAATGGAAGAAGTCGATTATTGTTTCAACAGACGTTGAGATAGAAAAAGAACAAAATTGACGGAGACAGAAAAGGAACAATATTTGTGGAGAGAAAAAAAGAACAATATTGACGGTCAATTTGAATTGAATGAGATAAATGATGACCGAAGAATGAGATAATGACTATAATATAATTCGTCTAACATTGAAAATGGAATAAATAGTTACGTGCTCATACAGTTGTTCATTCTGTGTTTTTCGACACAAGTGTTAATTTCGAAAGTTGTTCTTTCTAA